CCACGCCCGCAGAAATAATATGCCCAAGGAATGAAATTTCTTTCTGTGCAAACTCACATTTTTATGCTTTTAGATATAACTGGGTTTTTCTCAACTTTGTCAAGGCCAGCCTAAGATGCTCAACATGCTCCTCAAGAGTATGGCTGTAAACAATATTTTCATCCAAATAAATCACCATGAAACGGTCCAAGTATTCCCGAAATACGTTGGTCATCAAGTTACAGAATGTAGCAGGGGCGTTGGTTAAGCCGAAAGGCATAACTAAAAACTCATATGATCCATACCTTGTCACACAAGTAGTCTTCGCCACATCTCCCTCTATAATTCTGACTTGATGATATCCCAACCGCAAACCTATCTTGGTGAAGAAAATCGTCTTTCCCAATCTATCAAATAATTCGTTAACAAGCGGCACTGGATAGTTGTTCTTGACAATGACTTTGTTGAGGGCTCTGTAATCTACACAAAGACATAAGGATCCATCCTTTTTCTGAAACAGAACAGGGGCTCCATAAGGTGCCTTGGAAGGTTGAATGAACTCAATGTCCAATAAACCCCTAAGCTGTCTCCTTAGCTCCGTCAACTCTGATGGAGACATTCGATAAGGAGCTTGGGTAGGGATTTTTGCCCCTGGAATCAACTCGATGACATGGTCAATCTCCCATCTTGGGGGTAACCTTGCTGGCAATTCTTTAGGTGCCACGTCCTTGAACTCAACCAAGAACTGTTGCACTGGTTCAGGGACTTGCAATGCTTTGGACTCTTTTTCCTCAAATAAAACAGCCAAGTATGTTATTTTCCCCCTCCGTAAACCATCTTTTACTTGCAAGGTAGACAACATTTCCCCCGAAGACTTAGCCTTAGTGAGGGGAACAAAGCAGGGATTGGGCATGTCCATTACGAACATCCCCTGTAAATGCGACATAACAGACACCTTTGCCTTTGTAAGGAATTGCAGTCCAAGGATTACCTGAAAATCATCGAGAGGGACTACCATAAAATCACATGATCCTTGTCAATCACCAACTTTTAAAGGGACTTCTCTTGCGACACCGCCTACTGGTTTTGCCTCTGAATTAATAGCCTTAATCTGGCTAGAGTCTTTCACCAAAACCAGACTAAGCCGCTGTACTTCTCGGTCAGAAACAAAATTATGGGTTGCACCTGTATCAACCATTGCCTGGACAACCACATTGTTTAGGCGAATCTGCACAAACATCAACCCCCTCTTTGCCACTATCTCCTCTTTGCGAATTGCATTAAGGAGTTGTAATGGGTTGACTCGTGTTGGTTCGTCAGAATAGTCACTGTCCTTAGCCATAAGGGCACTGAGCTTTTCCTTCTTGGGGCAATTTTTGGCACGATGAGGGCCATTACAGATAAAACAGCTTGAGTCAGCACCTCCCTTTGATGAAGAGGCTTTGTCAGTCGGTTTTTCTGAATTGCCAAACTTCTCATCCTTTTTCTTCTGCTTGTTATTCTTAGGGAACTTGGCTTTCCCTTTTGACTCCTTCTCTGAAGGGTTAGCCTGCGTTTTGTAGTCAACCAGCGCGTCTGCTACGGACATAGTAGCGGGTAAATCCTTCACCCTTTGCCGACGAAGGAGGCCAGACATAAAGTTGAACATCTTGTCTTCCTCTGACATATTTTTTATGTCAAGCATTAGAGACGAGAATTGCTTCACGTACTCCCTCACGGTGCTTGTATGNTACGGACATAGCAGCGGGTAAATCCTTCACCCTTTGCCGACGAAGTTCTGCCTATGCCCAAGTTTGGAGGCCAGACATAAAGTTGAACATGTTGTCTTCCTCTGACATATTTTTGATGTCAAGCATCAGAGACGAGAATTGCTTCANGAGGCCAGATATAAAGTTGAACAGCTTGTCTTCCTCTGACATATTTTTAATGTCAATCATCAGAGACGAGAATTACTTCACGTACTCCCTCACGGTGCTTATATGTCGAAGTTTCCTTAATACATACGGGCTTGCCAAGCCGTGTTGTTGGGAAGGAATTGCTCCTTCATTTCAGCGGACAGAGACTCCCAAGTAGTAATTGGAGGACGAGATTTGTCCTNTCAGCGGACAGAGACTCCCAAGTAGTAATTGGAGGACGAGATTTGTCCTCAGAACGTGTTCGCCACCATAATTTAGCATCATCGGACAGGTACATGCTAGTGAGATCTACATTTTCAGCATCTGGAGTGCGGACTGCTTTGAAGTAGTGCTCCATATCCCATAGAAAGTTCTCGAGTTCTTTAGAATTTCGACTGCCTGTGAAAGGCTTAGGGTCAGACACTTTAGCTTTCTGAGTGCTTTCACTGCCAGAAGCCACATAGGCATTCTGCAATGCCCTCTTAAGCACTGAAAAATCGGTCTCGAGGGAACTCAATTTTTCCCCCATATCATCGGTTCATGTGGAGATCGTGGCCAACACGTCAATGACTTCGTTTTTCACTCGACTGAAGTGATCAGATTCAGTCTTTTGAATCTGTTCATGTGCAACACGCATCTCTTTGAACCGCTGATATAGCAACTCAAGCTGCACAGAGAGAGCTACAGCATCACCAGACTGTGGAGGACCAACAAGCTCCTCCAAATGTGCCACCCTTTCACTCAGATTAGCATTCGTTCCGCCAGCCATAGTTGATCTGTTGCCAAAATTACGCTCTGATACCAAACTGTCATAGGGTAACTTTCGTTTTTCTTTTGAGGCTACCTGTGAAGGCGTTGCTATTGCAACTAGCCACACTCAAACTCAAGAATAAGGGACAGAAACTCACACAGAAGGCACACACGAATTTACTGGGACAACACTCTCAAACCTTATATATTGAACTCAATAATTTACAAGGACTTTCAAAGACAAAACACTCTCTGCCTTCCAGAATGCTCAAACACCCCTATTTATACAAGAGGAAGGCATATGACTGTCAAGGGGTAGTTACCCACGTTTTTGCTATTCCATAGCATCTTGGGCTAGCAGGCTTGGTCTATGTGCAATACCTGGCAGACAGTTCCACCACTTCCAGTAACTGCTGTGGAACTACCCTTTATCAGCATGCATCTAGACTGGGGACGTCCAGAACTGCCTCAGCAACTGCCTTGACTGAGTCTCAGCATCATAACCGCCCACATCCTATTGGTCACATGCATTTGAGCAGTCATGTGCCAGTCAGGTGCCCATATTCAGCAGTCAACCTTGCTACACGAACCAATGTGCATGCTGGGTTCAACCCATGCCATGCAATCCGAAACTCTGCACCCACATTGCTTCAATTGAGCCCACCCATGCTGTCATGCTCAACCGGGTGGTCTCGTGCTGTCTTGGTTCACCCCAATCTGTCGAACCACTTAGCCGCATCATCTTGATTTCGATTTCTGGCATGCCTTGGTGCAAGGTGCCACCAGACCGACCCTTTGCACCCAAGTCAATTAGGGTGTGACATGAGGCCATTAAGTGCACTTCATGTANCTCATGCTGCCTTGGTTCGTCCCAATCTGTCGAACCACTTAGCCGCATCACCTTGACTCCAATTTCTGGCATGCCTTGGTGTGCAAGGTGCCACCAAGATCGACCATTTGCACTCAAGTCCATTAGGGTGTGACATTAGTGGAGGTCAGTCTTCTACTGCCCTTTTTTTTTTTCTAATCCTTTTGTTTCCTTTATGTCAATAAATATCAAAACAATTTGTCATCGGCCATTTGGCACTTTACAAAAGGAAGCAAAGCTGCAAAGATGTTGCTTTCAATCCAATACCAACATATACAGACCCCACAAACTAGGTACTACTCTGTTCTCCATTCCCCTCCTCTGCTCGGAGAAAATGAAAGGTCATTATCAAAGAAGCAGCCTTAATTATACTTCATTATCAAGCTGCATCCTTCTTAAACAATGAAAATGACCACTTTTCTTGCATAGGATGGACAATTTTGGTAAAAGCAGCCCCCCCAAATAAAGAAAAGAGAAAAGGAAAAGCCTAATTGAAAGGAAATTCTTGGGATAAAGCTACAGAAGCAACCAGCCAAAATTAGGTTGATTTTAGTTTGAATGATTTACGACATGATAAATTAATAAATCTAAAAAAATTATACGTTATACGTTTTTAGTGGGTAAGAAGTAGAGGTCTAGTAACAAAAAATTATTTTTTTGTTGGGTTCAAGTATTCAACGGTCATGAATGTTTGGATCAGTTTACACGTATTTGGATTAATCTCATCTTCGGTCCACTTAAAAATAGACCATTTACGTCGGAACTACTGTATTCATGGAGAATAAATCTTTCGTGACTAAATCCCAAGGAGTTGTCAAAATTCAAATTCAAATTCAAAACGTCTGAATTTGTAGCTCATTTATATTACCACTTTTCGATAAAAGAAAATGCTAAATAGATTTAAAAATTTGACTCGATGAATCATTATCATTAAATAGATAATGAGTTTCAATAAATATTAAGATCTATAGTTAAATTAATAATAAATATAACAACCGTCTCATTAACTCAAATTTTTAAGTTAATTTTTTAAATTGTAGCATTGCTGTCCGATAAATGTAATTGGACCAAAATTCTTGAAAACTGAAAAGAGGCCACCAGTGTAGTTGATGCCACAACTTGCAATTCAAGCAAAGCGGCAAAACGGTTTCATATCCACCCCTCTGGACTGTGGCCCTGACCATTCCCTTTTTCAATCAAACTTCATAATCCCACTTTATTCCATTTGATACCCCTTACTTTCCCAAAAATCCCCAAGTGGGTTCGAGTGGAAATGGCAAAACCCAAGGGTAATTACGTTAAATTATTAAATATATAGGGATTTTGGGGGTTTGGTTTCCGCCATTTGTGCTTTAAACTAAGCAGGACTCACCAAACATCAGTAATTAGGTATGTCTCCTGATTTTCTCCTTCCCTTTCTCTCTCCTCTCTGCCCCCAATAAGTAGTGGCTCACCCTCTGCATTCTCTTCAGACTCACCAACTTCCAAGTCCCAAGTCTCTCTCTCTCTCTCTCTCTCTCTCTCTCTCTCTCTCTGTCAATGGCTGTTGTAAGACTTTCCTGCATTGTCACCTTGAGTTTGTTTTTGACAATAGTTGACGCTAGAATTCCAGGTGTTTACACCGGTGGGGCGTGGCAAAGCGCTCATGCTACGTTCTACGGTGGAAGTGACGCCTCTGGAACTATGGGTATGTTTAAAATTTTTAAGCTAAACCCATTGACCCCTCTTCAACTTTTGTTTCGGTTCAAGAGTCACACTCTCTCTCCCCTGTTTCATGAGATTTTACAAAACTAATTGCTCAAACACTCTCCCAATGCAATCAAACCTTTCAACTTCTCTATGAATTCCACATTTCCCATGTTGGTTTCTTGTTCTTGCTTTAAAGTCATTGAATGATTAAACTTTAAAGAATTTGCATTGCATTACTTTTAATTTGTTCTTTCTTCTTTTCTCTTCACTCCCTCTGTTCTCTGTTTCTGCATTTTCTTAGAAAGAATTAGGGACTATGAACTGTATAGAAACTATGAACTGTATTAACAGCTCTCTCTCTCTCTCTCTCTCTCTCTCTCTCTCTCTACAGGTGGAGCTTGTGGGTATGGAAACTTATACAGCCAAGGCTACGGAGTGAACACGGCGGCGCTAAGCACAGTTCTGTTCAACAATGGTTTCAGCTGTGGGTCGTGTTTTGAGATCAAGTGTGACAGTGACCCACAGTGGTGCCACCCTGGTAGTCCCTCCATTTTCGTCACTGCCACCAACTTCTGCCCACCAAACTACGCATTACCCAACGACAATGGCGGGTGGTGCAACCCTCCTCGCCCTCACTTCGACCTTGCCATGCCCATGTTCCTCAAGATCGCCGAGTACCGCGCCGGCATTGTCCCCGTCTCTTACCGCCGGTAATCATTTTTTATCAGTTTCTAATCCCATGGTTAATAGTTTTTTACTATTATAATAATGAATTTACAATTTTGTCTTTTCAGGGTGCCATGTAAGAAGCGAGGAGGAATCAGATTCACAATCAACGGCTTTCGATACTTCAACTTGGTTTTGATCACCAACGTCGCGGGTGCAGGGGATATCGTGCAGGTGTGGATCAAAGGGTCGAAAACAAATTGGATGAGCATGAGTCGCAATTGGGGTCAAAATTGGCAGTCAAACGCAGTGCTGGTTGGTCAGTCACTCTCTTTCAGGGTTAAAGGCAGTGACCATCGCTCTTCCACTTCATGGAACATCGTACCTTCTAACTGGCAGTTTGGTCAAACTTTCTCTGGGAAAAATTTCAGAGTTTGAGATCCTTTTGGTCAAATTAAGTAACTTTTTTCTTTTTGTTTTTGTTTTTTGTTTTTTGTTTTTTTCTTGAAAAGTGAAATGAGGGTGAAAGAGTGGAATTGGGTTTTTTGGAGGAGCGGTGTGTGGAAAAGGGAAAAAGAGAGGGAGGAAAATGGGAGAAAGTTTAGAAGTGTGTCTGTGTGCTTGTCTGAGCTTTTTTTTGACCGGAGGATTGTAAGAGCTTGTAGTGGCTGCAAAGTCATGTAGCCCTCGGCTTGCTCACCTCATATTTATCTATTTACTGAAAACTTTATTTATGCTAAGATATTTTTATCTAAATATTTCTCATAATTTTTTATTTTTTTTCATTTTCATGAAAAAATGACACAATTATATCAAATCTTCATGAATATTTTAATTTTGACGTAGATGATATGCATATAAACTGACCCGGACACATTTATTGTTAAACCAAAAAAAGAAAAGAAATAAAAGAATGTGAGGAAATTTGACCACCCCACCTGTAGTGTTTGAGTTAATACATACCGGCTTTTTAATTGACCTCATTCATGGAGGAACTTCATTGACAGAGCAGNAAATTTATTTATTGAATATAATTAAATTTTTTAATAAATAAAAATTAAACATTTTAGTTATACAAAAAAAACTTTCAATAAATACGTCATTTGGTCTGATGTTTTTGGTAGAGGAAACATTAGTTGAACTGACGTGTTTACCAAAAATGTCAGGCCAACTAACGTTTTTAACTTGGTCTAAAATACCTTAATTAGTCTGACGTTTTTCGTTGTTGGGCTTGGGCCTTAGAGTTCCACAATAAACGTCATTTGGCTTGACATTTTTAGGCTAAAAATATCAGACCAAGTGACGTCAAACAAAATGACGTTTTTGAAAGTCCCTAAGTTTGAAAAATACTTTCAAACCAGCCCTATTTTGTGAATAATTTTCTAAAACCCCTTGATTTGGGGTAAAACCTCTAATAGAAAGCATATTAGAAAATATTTGAATAGCTATTAGTTTCCTTCAAGTATATTTTCTCTCAAGAATTATAAATTGTTTACTATAAATTTATACAGGATACCACATATAAATGAACACATGTCAGTAATCTATTATTAAATAGAGTGTATTGGAGGAAATGGATATCTTGAACAGACATTCAAAAAATTAAAATATATCGTTGGTCTACAAAATATGTATTTAATCTCACTTTGGTAACCCAACTTTCAAATACCTTATTTTGATCCCTACAATTTTCAATTTATTTTTACATGATTTTTCTGTTTGATCTTAACACCTTTGTCCAGCTCAAATGCCCAAAATGGTATATAATGAGCATATTGGGCTTCTTGGTGGATGATATTCTTATTATTATTTTTTTATAAGGTGTGTAGATTTGTGTCACTATTCTTTCAATTTCGTATACTAGTCACAAGAGGTGGTAAATGAGTGAGTTGAATCAGTTATGGATTGAGTTAAAATAAATCAAATCCATTTTCACTCACGTATTAAAATGAGTTATAATCAGTTGTGTTTATAACGGGTTGGATTAAACCTATTAACCCATAAAATAATTAAAATTCTTAATAAACACACACACACACATACTAATATATCAAAATATACACAAATTAATACACTAAAAATACACACATTAATACACCAAAAATACACTCACATGTACTAACGCAAAGATTAAAACACGTTTAATAAAAAAAACACACACAAACACACATAATGGGTCGGATCGATTATGAGCCATGAGTCGGTCCACGGGTCATTGGTCGATCCATAAGCCGTAGGTCATCGGGGTCATGGGTTGGGCCGTGGGTCATGGGTTAACCCGCATGTCATGGGTGGTGTATTAGTGTGTGTGATTTTTGGTGTATTAGTGTATATGTGTATTTTTTAATGTATTAGTGTGTGTATTTTTTGGTATATTTATATATTTATTTAATTTTATTACTTGTGTTATTTAATAAAAANTTAATGTATTAGTGTGTGTATTTTTTGGTATATTTATATATTTATTTAATTTTATTACTTGTGTTATTTAATAAAAAAATAAATATTCAATCCAATAGGTATCCATTAATAATCCATATTAAGCTGCTTAATTAAAATGAATCATATTATCCAACCTATTTAAAACCCGCATTAATTAATATTGGTTCTCAACTCATTTATTTATGGACACGTTATGCAAATTAATAGGTAATGAGTTAATATTGTCACCTCTATTAGTCACTATATCTTGAACGAGTTTAGAATATGTTACATGAGGAATAAGGGTGACTAACCCGTAAAGAATACGAGAAGTGTTAAACTTGAGACTGATAAGGAAGAATCCTCTTCCAATTCTTTCCTCGATCTCAGATGATTTGTTGTTATCTATATATCTTTTCTAGTTTATAGGATAAGTATCAATTACGTTTATCTATTTCCTATTATATAGGATCTTCCAACTATATATACATTCTATATAATGAGAATCATCACCTCAATATTTATCGAGGATTCCAACCATATTCTACCACGGGTCTTTAAACCTTCTCATGGTATTAGAGCCTTTGTTGTTTTTTTTTTTCCATGGCTGCCTCGTCCTCATCACCTTCACTTTCGCTGAACACGATGGTGCATATGCTCACCATCAAACTGACCTCCTCCAATTATTTGTTATGGAGAAATCAGTTTATCCCTCTATTGACCAGTCAAGATCTTCTTGGATTTCTGGATGGTAGTGTCCCAGCTCCTTCTCCAAAGGTTACTGGCTCTGATGGCACCACCCAGGTGAATCCAGCCTACACTTCCTGGTTGAATACAGATCAGACTCTCCTAAGTCTTCTTTATTCTTCTCTTATAGAGGAGTCTATGGGTCATGCACATGAAGCCTGGACTACTCCTGAAACCTCTTTCTCTCACAGATCCAATACTCGAGAACTCCAACGCAAGGACGAGCTTCAATTGATGCAGCGAGGCTCAAAATCCGTGGTTGAATTTTCTTGCCTCTTGAAAGGCCTCTGCGATCAACTGGCGGCAATTGGTCATCCCATTGAGGACCAGGATAAAGTCCACTGGTTCTTGAGAGCCTTAGATCTCAATTATAAGATTTTCTCAACTACAATGCTTTCCCAGCTTCCTTTACCTTCTTTTGCAGATATTATTCCAAAAGCTTTGAGCCATGAGATTTTTGAAAGATCGGTGTATCAAAAATCTACCAACTCAGTGTTCTATGCTCAACGGAATTCTTCCACTAGACTAAAAAGCACCAAGGAAGGAAAGCGAAAACCTTCCTTTGACTCTACCTCAAAATCGTCTAATTCTTCTCCAGTTTATTGTCAACTCTGCGACAAGGAAGGCCACTTGACTAAACGCTGCTGGACATTTCTTAATCTCAAGAAAAAGCAGTCTACCAACCTTGCTGAGGCTTTCGCTGCTTGTTCGATTCTAGACTCCAACGACTCCAATTGGTATCTAGACTCTGGTGCAACCTCTCACATGACAAATAATCCCAAGGGTGTAGATATTCCTGCTATCTACTCTAGTAATGAAAGGGTGATGGTTGGTAATGGTAAGTCACTTTCTATTTCTCACACTGGTTCTGTTTCTACTCTTGTTCCCAATAGCTCACTACTTTTATCCAATGTTTTAGTTGTTCTTGACATTAAGAAAAATCTTATTTCCATCAATCAACTTACAAAGGATAATAATTGTTGTGTCACTTTTTCTTTTTCTGGTTTTAACATACAAGATCGAGTTACAAGAGGAGTGCTGGGGGTCGACAGATGTGAGAATGACCTGTACGTGCTCGATCAAAATCATCATGCCCTTGCTTCCGTCATTTCTTCCAATAAGCCGAGTGCCTTTGTTCATCTGTGGCATGCTTGTCTAGGTCACCCTAGCTTTTGTACTATTGACTCTCTTTCCAAGTCTGGTTTTATTTCCTGTAGTGATAAATTGATGGGTTTAGATTCAAGTTTATGTGTTGGATGTAATCTTGGCAAGAGCCATCGTTTACCCCTTTCACTTAATAATGATCGTTGTGCTTTGCCTTTTAATCGCTTACACTGTGATTTATGGGGTCCTTTACCTATCTGTTCCACTACTAGTTTTTGGTATTGTGCAGTGTTAATTGATGATTGTACTAGATTCAGTTGGTTTTTCCCATTAAAACACAAATTTGATTTTTTTGATACCTTTGCCAATTTTCAAAGTTATATTGAGACTCAATTTTCCTCCAAAATTAAATCCTTCCAATGTGATGGTGGAATTGAATTTACAAATAATAAATTTTTCTCTCACCTCACATCTTGTGGTATTGTGTTGCGCATTGCTTGCCCTTACACAGTGAGTCAAAATGGGATTGCTGAACATAAACACCGACATGTCATTGGTACGGGTCTCACCATTATGTGTCATGCCTGTGTTCTGTTGCCTCTTTGGGTTGAGGCCTTCTCGACNGATACGGGTCTCACCATTATGTTTCATGCCTGTGTTCTGTTGCCTCTTTGGGTTGAGGCCTTCTCGACAACTGTTTATCTCATCAATTGACTCCCCTCGCAAACTCTTGATGGCAAAACTCCCTATGAGCTCCTATTTGGTAAACAACCCAACTACTTTATGCTTCGCACTTTTGGATGTTTATACTTTCCATATTTGCGAGATTATGCTCCAAACAAATTATCTCCCAAATCCTCTCCTTGTGTCTTTTTAGGTTATAGCCCCCTTTACAAGGGTTTCACTATTTTGACCGCAAGACACAACGTCTTTATGTCTCTCGACATGTGCCATTTTATGAAACTATCTTCCCTTATGCGGGTGATGATATACAACAACTTCATAGTTCAGCACCTTATATTACTTTCTCTGATTTTTAGAGTCTAATAATAATATGTTTTCTGCCTCTCTGGACTTGTTGCTCTCTTCTCCTATTTCGAATCCTATTTGTTTACCATGTAGTGATGATCTTGGTGAATCCTTCCCCCAGACATCTCTTGTTGTGT